ATTATAAGATACATTTAAAAATCAAGAAATCAGCGTTTAAAACATGAAGAATAACATCTAAACTGAAGAAACAGTCATTAACAAGTATAAACCCCCTCTGCTTCAGTCTCCTCAGGATAATGTCATATACTGAGGCACAGTTCATGACTGTAGCACATAATAGTGATGAGCAGGTGAAAATAATCACACTGTTCTCTTTCTATTAGTACTATTAAAGTGTAATAGCACCCAGAACAAACTAAAACATAACCAAATACAGAAGAAAAATGCAATATCAGTTTAATGGTGATCAAAGCATTATATAAACGAGTGATCATTATGAGGGAAACCAAAGAGATCAACTCAGAAATACTAGAGATCTTAAAACAAAAGAGATTTTGTATGAATGAAGAAATGCATACAGCACTGTTATTAATGCTGAATAACTCGGTGAAAAGAGTGTGACCTGCATAATAATACAGTTTAACCTGATCTAAAGTGTTATAAACAGCGATCAACATCATGAGTGAAATCAGAGAGATTAATGCAGAAATATCTGGAGATGTCGTCACGTTTATGAATGAAGAAATGCATACAGCACTGTTATTAACACTGAAGAATACACGAAATCAGCCTGTGAGTGGTAGAATAGTACTGTTATACAGTAGTTCTGTCTGATTCTGGAATCTGATTGGCTGATAGCCGTGTGATATTCTGCAATAACAGCACTCTTACAGCCTCTTCACCTTTGTGTATTACTCCGCCCACATAGAGTGACATCAGATCAGTAAACTCACTACAGTCTGACAAACATTGCAGCTGTTGGACAACATCATGTACTGCTGAGGCTTTATTAGCGGAGAAAGATTGCAAGTGTTCAGTTTATTTATAAGGATAGTGGCTAATTTAAATAATTCCAGAGATCAGCAGCCATCAGCCTGTCATACTGAGCAGAGCAAAGATGGTTGATGTTTTGCCACAAGATGGCGACAGAGAGCGCATAATAAGCCCTTAGAGGAGAAAATCTCAGTGCAATATCAGATCATTATTAATCAGGTAAGTGACACTCTGAGTTGATATCTCTCATTTGTGCGACGATTGTGCGGGTGCGTCCGCTACGCCACTGACCGCGGTTTGGAAAAAGTCAAGGTTTTACAACCGGCAAACTTTTCTGTTCCTAAAGTATGAGTAAGAATTTTTATTGACATTTTTTTGTCTTTAGGAGAGCAGTATCTCCAGCAGAAAAGATCTCCAGAGATGCCGTTTTAATTAAAGAAATCAGTGTTTGAAACTATTGAAGACAGCAGAAGACACTGATTAATCTCTTTATTATTCAGCCGGACGTGTTCACTGCTCCAAAATATTATAAACGTCTCTCAAAATAAAATATATCGTGTTCAAGGGGGAAAAAAGATTCAGTTTTACCCAGACATTTAAAAAGCATCTATTTCAGAGCAGTGAGCAGAATACTGTGATGTTTTATCCACGGTTATCATCACACCGTCACAATCCTACACCGGCCCAGGCCTCGCTGATGGACAGCCGCACATCACACTGCTGGCATATGGCATTGCTCATTTAACCAAGGTTAAAGAGGTATAAAGCACACACAGATATGCCAGCATCAGGAGTGAAATCATTCATTCAGAAACATTTGGAGAACAAAATCCCAACTGTACTGTTATTAACACTGATTTAAAACATCACAATATCACATCCATCATCACCATGAGTGAAATCAGAGAGCTGCAATCAGAAATATCTGGAGATCTGGACAAGTTTATTCATGAAGAAGTGCAAACACTACTGTTATTAACGCTAAATAATAAACAAAAGCAGCCCGTGATCGGCTCCGGACAGGAAGTGCTCATGAGTCGCGCGCCGGTGACCCGGATGTGGCGCAGGTTGTGTTGACATCAGATCGGCGGCGATCATCACCGGATCATGCCCGTGTTTCTGTGAGTGGAAGCGGCGGTCAGTCGGTAAACGGTGCTCAGGTAAGAGACAGACCTGTAAGTGGCTACTGGAGCTGCTGTCAGCCGCTCACTGAGCGCGTAAACCCTCGCGGGGGGCTAGCACGCTAACGGCTAACAGATACACACACACACACACACACACACACACACAGAGAAACAAACATCACCGAGCGGCGAGAAAAACACCGAAAACACGGACACGACAACAGCGCAGAGCGACGGTACAGCGAATACTGATCGGCAGAGTCCCGGTAAACGAGCGACGATGAGCACAACACAGCTGACAGATTATTATTAATGACAGTGTGGGAGAATGATGATGATGATGTTGATGATGATGAGGATGATGGGGTTCAGTACTGCCCAGACTATTGCAGCATTAATGACGATCCAAACTAGTAGAAGAGATGGCATCATGTCAGATCTGGATACTCAGATTCACTCAGTTTGTTTTCTCCTGATAGTGTCAGTCACATTAGCTGTTTACATCTTTAATATTAATTCTGCTGTCATAAATCCTTCCTATTAAGGGTCTGTTCGCATCAATAATCAGTGTGTTAGTGTAATATTAATCATGTATTTGTACATATCAGGTGTTTTCCTGCATCACTAATCATGTTCAGTTTATTAATAATAGTATATCACTAATATTAAGTGTGTTTTGCACATTATTACAGGCGCCCTGTACTGAAAATCTGGCTATAGCAAAGCTTAGTGTAATACAGAGATCAGTGAATGGGAAAGTGCACACAGTGAGCCTCAGCCTGCACCATTTCCTCATTCTCATGTAAAACACCGGTGGACAACAGGCCAATCAGAGGACAAAACAAACTGTGACGAGCCTCACTGACCACGCCCTTCTCATTTGCATGTATGCCTTATTTGGCTTGTTCACCTGGACCTGTCGAGCAGCCATGTCATCAAGCTCTGAGATTATAAAGAAGCCCTGAGAGTGTTAACATGCACGCCTCAGGCTGAGCTTGATAAGACAGACGTTTCCTAGTGAGACAACAGTGATCATTTCCCTCCCTCTGTTATTTTAACTGTATATTTTACTTACTGTGCGTGTGGGACTTTTATTTTTAAAAACGCGAGTGCCAAACTTTACTGTGCTTTACTGCAGTGTATTCGCCTCCGGATGCAAAATGCAGGATATACAGATTACACATTCATTCACCTCCACTCTGAAGAGCTTAACGTTACTCTGATCGGGTTTATATTCGTCTGTGTTTAGCGTACATCATGCTGTGTGTGTATAAAAGCGGCATGTCAGAGCAGAGCTCATTAATATTCATGACACGACCCAAATATGGTCAATAATGGAGCCTCTGATTATAGGGGTATTTATGGAGCATTAAATCAGCTTACAAAACCATTTCTGCAGATTTTTTGAATATGGATATGTGGATATCGGAGAACAATTTAACTTATTAAACCGAAGCAGTGTAAGGCTGCTCGTCACCGATGTTATACATGTGTTCATATAGCACTAATAATGTCAAGTGTGTTTTTGAACATCAGTAATGTTGAACACGTTTTTGCACATCACGGATAATATTAAGTGTGTTTTCATCGTTAATAATATTAAGTGTGTTTTCATCGTTAATAATATTAAGTGTGTTTTCATCGTTAAAAATATTAAGTGTTTTTATCGTTAATAATATTGAATGTGTTTTCATCCTTAGTTATATTAAGTGTGTTTTCATCGTTAATAATATTAAGTGTTTTATCGTTAATAATATTAAATGTGTTTTCATCGTTAATAATATTAAGTGTGTTTTCATCGTTAAAAATATTAAGTGTTTTTATCGTTAATAATATTAAATGTGTTTTCATCGTTAGTTATATTAAGTGTGTTTTCATCGTTAATAATATTAAGTGTTTTATCGTTAATAATATTAAATGTGTTTTCATCGTTAGTTATATTAAGTGTGTTTTCATCGTTAATAATATTAAGTGTTTTCATCGTTAATAATATTAAGTGTTTTCATCGTTAATAATATTAAGTGTTTTATGGTTAATAATATTAAATGTGTTTTCATCGTTAATAATATTAAGTGTTTTTATCGTTAATAATATTAAATGTGTTTTCATCGTTAGTTATATTAAGTGTGTTTTCATCGTTAATAATATTAAGTGTGTTTTCATCGTTAATAATATTAAGTGTTTTATCGTTAATAATATTAAATGTGTTTTCATCGTTAATAATATTAAGTGTGTTTTCATCGTTAAAAATATTAAGTGTTTTATCGTTAATAATATTAAATGTGTTTTCATCGTTAGTTATATTAAGTGTGTTTTCATCGTTAATAATATTAAGTGTTTTATGGTTAATAATATTAAATGTGTTTTCATCGTTAGTTATATTAAGTGTGTTTTCATCGTTAATAATATTAAGTGTTTTATCGTTAATAATATTAAGTGTGTTTTCATCGTTAATAATATTAAGTGTTTTTATCGTTAATAATATTAAATGTGTTTTCATCGTTAGTTATATTAAGTGTGTTTTCATCGTTAATAATATTAAGTGTATTATGGTTAATAATATTAAATGTGTTTTCATCGTTAGTTATATTAAGTGTGTTTTCATCGTTGATAATATTAAGTGTTCTTATCGTTAATAATATTAAATGTGTTTTCATCGTTAATAAAATTAAGTGTTTTTATCGTTAATAATATTAAGTGTGTTTTCATCGTTAGTTATATTAAGTGTTTTTTTTATCATTAGTTATATTAAGTGTGTTTTCCTCGTTAATAATATTAAGTGTGTTTTCATTGTTATTTATATTAAGTGTGTTTTCATCGTTATTTATATTAAATGTGTTTTCATCGTTAGTTTTATTAAGTGTGTTTTCATCGTTAGTTTTATTAAGTGTGTTTTCATCGTTAGTTTTGTTAAGTGTGTTTTCATCGTTAGTTTTGTTAAGTGTGTTTTCATCGTTAGTTTTATTAAGTGTGTTTTCATGAATGTGTGTGTGTGTGTGTGTGTTTCAGAGGTGACGCGTGACCAGCGTGTGTTTCTCTGCTCTGGATTGTGTTCTCCTCATCTCGATGTGTGTGTCCTGAGTCAGTTGTGTAGTTGTGTGGTATCGTGATCATGGCGAGTAAAGCAGGAGATGATCCGGACAGTCTGATGTCTCTGTGCACTGAGTTCTGTCTGAGGAACCTGCGCAGGACCATGTGCTACAGCGGAGAGCGGAACCGGCTGAGTTTGCGGCCCGACGTTTTCCTGCCCAGCGAGATCTGCGACCGCCTGGTCAACGCGTATGTACACAAGCGTGTGTGTGCGAGTGCGTGCGTGCGAATGCTCTGCTTCAGTGAGTGACTCTCTGCTGTACTGTGCAGGTATATGGATCTGGTGCACACAGACAGTGAGTTTGAGCCGCAGGACGGCTTCTTCCAGCTGTTCAGTGACCCGCGCAGCACCAGACTCACACGCCTGACGCTGAGGGAGGATCTGCTGCGGGATCGAGACCTGGAGGCCATCAGCAAACAGGTGAAGCCCACAGCCCATACTCACAGTGTAGGACAGTATATGTGTGGCTCAGCTGTAGTGTGTAGTGTAGTGTGGGCGGGGCTCAGCTGTTTGTTTCTCAGCTGCTCTTTATGCTAATGAGGTAGAGATGGCCACAAGTGGGTGGGGCTTTCCCCCTCTGATGACATGTACAGAGGGAGAATGTGAAGAGAGAAAGTCTGATGAGAACAAATACAGTAACTCATGTTCACCAGTAGAGGCGTGTGTGTGTGTGTGTGTGTGTGTGTGTGTGTTTGTGTGTGCGTGCGTGCAGGACCTGATGGAGCTGCACCTGACGGACTGCAGTCGTCTGTCGTCTCGAGCTCTGCGTACGCTCTCCAGCTTCAGACACACTCTGCTGTCTCTCAGTCTGTTCGGCTGCTCCGGGATCTTCTTCCGCAAGAGCGGCGCCCCGCTGGCGTCCGGCGAGCAGGATGAGGAGGACGAGGACCCGCTGGAGGAGCGGCTGCAGACGCTGGATGTGGACTTCAGCTTCCAGGGCTTCGGTCGTCTGCGTGTGCTGAATGTGGGCGGTCTGCCGGCGGAGCTGGACGTGGAGGCGCTGCTGCAGCCGCTGCCCGCTCTCACTGCGCTGGATCTCTCCGCCGCCCGGCTGCCCAGACCGGCGTTCCTGCAGCAGTGGAGCGACCGCATGGCCTCGCTGGTGCTGTATAATGTAGAGCTGACGGACGAGCTCATACACACACTGCTGCAGATGACCAGACTCAGGTTACTCCATACAACACACACAGAACACACTAGAGAGCCTTCACTGTAGGGGTGTACACAGCACACAGCTCACAGCTCAGCTCACACTCTGGGTTATGAGGCACGGATCAAACCATTTTTAGTTCAACAGAAGGGGGAGGAGTCTGATGCAATTGGCTTTTCATTAGCCGTGTTTCCACTATCGCGCCTAAAGCGAGTGAGCCAGGGCCAGTCGCATTTCCATTGTCACTTCCGGGGCCTAATCGGGCCAAAGCGGGGCTTTCTTGGGGCCAGCGGCCGGCCTTTTCAGCCCGCCGAATACCTTGGGCCAAAGAGGGCCAGCCGGGGCTTCAGGGCGGAGTGAAAGGAGAGGCGGACTTTGCCCCGAATCTGGGAAAGATTACTTGCCGTCATTATACTTTTCCGATCGCACACGAGTACATGCGCCAAACACAAATAAATAAGGGAAAGAAAACATCTAGCCTTATAGACTGAGGTCTTTTGCTGATACTCGCCCTTCTGTTTCCCTTTAAAATATAAGGCTGCTGCATGAAATAATACAGTTTTAAATTATAAGTGACTGCAGCGTCCTCCTTGATGTTTCAATAACGCATAATAATCTTCACACCATATTAAACACACAGCAGACAGTAAAGGTTGTCAGGAGTTTTTGTGAAGTTTAAAAGGTGTGTTTGTGCGCGTTTAGATGCCTGTGTGTGTGTGTGAGACTGAGGGAAAGAGCGCTCCCCACAGCTCTGTTGATGCCGTGAGCAGCTTTTTCCTTTAATATTTTTCTTTTTCTTATTTATTTTGGAGATAATACACTATATGAACACAACAGAAACACATGAAACTCTACAAATTTGATGTCCACTTTTGTAGGCTCAAAACAATAGTGTCATATCTAGATAAAATAGCCGAAGCTGTATTGAAATATAATTTAAAGAATTGCAAATATCAGATATAATAAAATCACATTAAATAAATAAACCAATAGAAAACTAACAAAAGCTAGAACAATTTAGGTATATAGCCTACATAAATCAAACCGTTTTAAAGCCAAACTTTTATTTTACAAAGGCCTCTCTGAAAAAAAGATTAGATATTTTCTAAACACAATACTCACCAGAGAAGGTTTAAAATATTATGTATAAAGTATTTGGATGCGATGATATTAATCAAATCCTGCACACAGAGCATTTGTGAGTGAACGCAGAAACTAGGCGACCTTTTTTCTGTCCTGCGTCCTGTTCTGTGTCCTCAAACAAGTGTTTATGTGTTTATATGACGTGGTGAAATGTAGAAAATGAAATTTACATGAGG